CCTGTTTCTCTCACTCCATCTCTATCTCTCTCACTCCCTATCTCTCTCATACCCCCTAACTCCCTCTCTATTTCTCTCTCCCCCTCTTTCTCACTCCAATCTCTCATTCCCCACCTCTCTCATTCCCTTTATCTCTTTCACTCCCTCCCTCCCTCTCTATCTCTCTCACTCCTCCCTCACTCCCACTCTCTCTCCATCTCTCTCATTCCCTGTCTCTCTCACACCCTCTCCCCCCTCTTTCACTTTCTCTCTATCTCTTATTCCCCTCTCCATCTATCTCACTCCTTCTCTATCTCTCTCACTCTCCGTCTCTCTCTCATTCCCCCCCTCTCCCTGTTCCTCTCTCTTTCATTTCCTCTCCATCTCTCTCACTCCCTCTCTATCTGTCTCCTTCTCACTCCTTGCCTCTCACTCCCTCACCCTCTCTCCAACCCACCCCTCCCCCACCCACTCACTCCCTCCCTTGCTTTTGCAGTCCCTCGGCCCTCGCTCCCTCTGGTTTCTCCCTCTCTGTCCCTGGGTGAGTGAAGAAGGTGGGGGTGGGAGTTGAGGGGGTGATTGGGGAAATACCTGAGCAATGCGACATGTTTTATTTGAGAAGGGGAGTCACGGTGGGCCCTGAGTGGGTTGTAGTCTGGTTGAAGGTCATATCAATGTGTGAGGGAGCTGACAGTACAGTAAACAGTGACAGGCCGCACTCTCCCTCTCTTTATCAGCTTACTTGATCGCTCACAAACATCACACTGACCTGGGTGCGCTTTGATTACAGCCGTACTGGAAAGATTAGCAACACTCTGCCCAGAACATAACAACGCAGCACATCGGAAACAGGCCTTTCGGCCCCTTGAACCTGCTCCACCATTCAATCTGATCAACCAGCTCAGTTCCCTCTCTCTCTCCCCCGGACAGGGAGTGGGAGAAAGAGAGATGGAGAGGGAGTGAGAGAGATGGAAAGGAAGTGAGAGAGAGAGGGGGTTAGTGAGAGAGATGGAGAGTGAGAGAGATAGAGAAGGAGTGAGATAGGTGGAGAGGGGGAGTAAGAGATAGAGAGGAAGTGAGAGGGGAGAGGAAGAGGGAGTGAGAGAGACAGGGAATGAGAGAAATGGAGAGAGAGTGGGAGTGAGGGAGGATTGAGGGAGATAGAGAGAGAGGGAGCGAAAGAGATAGAGGGAATGAGAGAGACGGGGAGTGAGAGACTGGCAGAGAATTCGACAGGCTCCCCACTTTCTGGCTGAAGACATTTCTCCCCATCTCAGTCCTACCCCTGTATCTTTTAGACTGTGACCCCTACCCCTGGTTGCAGACTCACCCAGTTGTTGGGAACATCCTGCCTGTCTCGTCCCGTTACAATTTTCTCAGTTTCATTGAGATTTCCCCCCACTTAATTTTTCTCAACTCCAACAAATATAGTCCTAACTGATCCAGTCTCTCTTCATACTCCAGTTCTGTCATTCTAGGAATCAGTCTGGGAAAGCTGCACTGCACTCCCTCCATCACCAGAACATCCTTCTTCAGATAAGGAGATCTCAAACTGCACACAAATACTCCACATGTGGTCTCACCAAAGTCCTGTACAATTGTAGCAATGCATCCCTACTCCTCTACTCATTGAGTGGTTGATCTGTACTCGATGGAGTTTAGAAGGGTGGAGGAGGGGTAATCTGATTGAACATTACAAAATACTGAGAGGCCTGGATAGAGTAGACATGGAGAAGACATTTCCACTCGTCATAGAGATGTACATCCTTTGGTCAACTCATTCATGTTGACCAAACATCCTAAACTGATTTAGCCCCATTTGCCAGCATTTGGCCCACATTCCTCTAAACCCTTCCTATTCATATACCCATCCAGATGCCCTTTAAATGTTGTAATGGTACCAGCCTCCACCACTTCCTCTGGCAGCTCATTCCATACACACACCACCCTCTAAATGAAAAAGTTGTCCCCTCGGGTCCCTTTTAAATCTTTTTCCCCTCTCACCTTAAACCTATGCCCCTCTAGTTTTGGAACCCCCCTACCCCTGGGGGAAAGACTTTGTCTATTCACTCTATCCACAATTTTATAAACCTCTATAAGGTCACCCCTCAGCCTCCGACGCTCCAGGGAAAACAGCCCCGGCCTATTCAGCCTCTCCCTAAGGATCAAGTTGTTCGTGGGAGAGACTGGGACCCGAGGGCACAGCTTCAGGCTGAAGGGACTAATCCTTTCGAACTGAGGTGTGGAGGAACGTCTTCAGCTGGAGGGTGGGGAATGTGTGGAACTCATTGCTGCAGAGGGCCTGGGGAGGCCAAGTCTTTGAGCGTATTTAAGACAGAGATAGCTAGGTTCTTGATTGGTAGGGGGGGGGGGGGGGGCGATGGTGGGGAGCGGAATCAAGGGTTACGTTGAGAAGGGAGAGGAATGTGTTTGAGAAACACATCAGACGTGACTGAATGGTGGAACAGACTCGATGGGTGAAATGGCCTTATTCTGCTCCTATATCTTAGGGTCTACTTGAATCCTTTCTTTAGGTACTATTTGCCTTCTTGACCTGCCTGCAATGCTTACTCTAAGAAGTGTATGAAGACACCAAGATAAAATTGCGTTCCACACTCACCCCACAACCCCGGCCTTTCACAGCCTTATCACCATGCAGATACCAAACCAATCTGCCTTCCTGTTTTTGCGACTATATCTCAAATCGAACCGCATCAAACTGCTCCTGCCACATGGCTTCCCACTTGTTTCACTTGTCCAAATCATGGTGCAGCATCTCTACATCCTCCTCACACACAGAAAGGCATGTCTCTGGTTAAAAAAACTCCCGTGGCATCTCACCTTCTACCCATCCATGGGCAAAGGGGGCGAGTAGGGAGGCAAGGGGAGAAGAAATTCTCCCGGGAAAAACCAGGCTGCCTGCGCCGAGCCATCTGAGGACAGGAGCAAACCGACCAAACGGCCACGGCTAGGAATACGGTGCTACGGAAATGCAGGAGAGGGCACTGGAATGTTGTCCCTCTCCTGTGAAGAGCGAGCGAGGCCTTGTGGAAAGGGGCAGAGCCTGTCTGCATTGTCCAGGCACTGGGGGAGGCCGTTTCTTCCCCAACTGCCCCCTACTATCCCTCCCTCCCATACTGCTTCAACCCCAACTTGCTCACCCCCCACTCCCACCCCAACTGCCGCCACTTTCCCCATCTCCCCGCTTTCCTCTCCCACCTACCCACAACTTCCTTCTGTTCCCTCCCCGCTCTTACACCACCACCCTCTACATTCCCTTTACCACACTAACCACCCTCCTGCCCCGCTACCCCGACAACCTCATCCCACTCCCCTCATCCCCCACTTTCTCCTCATCCCCATCTTCAGGACCTGAGTGAAACATTCCCGGGGGGATCCGGCTTCAAATCCGATCGGAAAACGGCCAGTGTCGGAAACGAAAACCCCACCCTCGAGCGGGTGTGAATATGGCTCCATCACCCGGTCTGGGCCCTATACGTGACTCCAGGCCCACAGTGACGCAGGGGAGGGATGGGGGAAGGGGGTTGCCATGGCAGTGGGCTCATTCGCCAGTGGTTGTGATGGCGTTGAGTCTATGGTGAAGTCTGCATCCCATTTGTCCCATCCCGAAAGTTCGGTGCTGCTCCAATTCTCCCCGGATCCACAGAAAAAGGGGGCAAGGAGGATGGCAGGGAGAGGAAATTCTCCTGGAAAAAAAAACAGGAACAATCTGAGGATGGGTCCGAAGAGGGAAAATCGACCAAACAATCGAAAGGAAACAAAGTGAATATGAGATCGGCCACGATTTTATTGAATGGTGGAGTAGGTTCTATGGGCTGAATGGGCTACTCCTGCTTTTGTGTTCCTGTGAACGAATAAATAAATGAACACTGAGAACAAAGAAAACAGAAATGAACAATGAGATTATAGGCCTGAGGCCTGTGTGATGATCAGTGATGATCTACAGACTGATATTAAAGGTGGTGTAAATTCTGGTGTTACTAACAAATGATAAGAACCAGACAGAGAAAGGCCCCTGCTTGATGACACTGTGCAACCCGTATTAGATGCTAAGGATAGTTTGGAAAATATTAAACATAAAGTTTAACGTGCAAGGCCCCCTCTGAGCCACTCACCGTCCTGACTTGGACATATATCGCCGTTCCTTCACTGTCACTGGGTCAAAATCCTGGCCATCCCTCCCTCAGGGACATTGTGGGCCAACCCACAGCGCATGGACTGCAGCGGTTCAAGAAGGCAGCTCACCCCCACCTTCTCAAGGGGGCAGCTAGGGACGGGGCAATAAACGTGGGCCCAGCCAGCAATGCTCACATCCCACTTGTCAAAACTGGAAACAGTAATCCCATTCTGTAAACTTTCCAGAAGTGAAATGGGGAAAATGTTTGAAAATAATAATTTAGGGACAAACTCTTTTGTGTCTTTGTTATTGGCGCCTGATGCTCATGACTCGTGACCCAAACAAATGATTGTTTGCCATAAAGCCTGCCATGATCCCATTGAATGGCAGAGCAGACTATACAATGTAAATCTGTTCCAATTTCTTACGGTCTTACAAGTTAAAAGTACAGTGGATGCTCAAAAAAAACACATCAACTTTAAAAAACTCAATTGTGGAAGGATTTGGGGCAGACTTTTGGTGAAAACTTGGCAGGATTTTGAATATTTTTGAGACAGGCTCAGTCACATCATTGCCAAGGAGGGTCACTGGAAATGCAACATTCACTCTGCTTTCTCCAGATACTGCCAGACCTGCTGAGTTTCTCCAGCAATTTCTGGGTTCTGCTGGAGTTAAATTATTGATCAGTTACTATTAATCACTATTCATTTATCATTCCTCAGACATAATCATCCCTCACAGCGACACCGACATGTAGTTTGACAGAAAAAAAAACATAATAAATAGACGGAATTCATAAATACAGGGACTTGTCTGACCTTTGAGGCGGTGAATCTCTTGTTGCACGGGAGGTGTGTGGGGGGTTGGAGAAGGAACGGTCAAAGCAGGATCGCTGCGCTCCACCCGGATGCCTGAGGGTGGCGGTACCACCCCGCCGTCGGGAAACGGGGAGTGTGCGGGGCGGATGTGCGTCCGTCGGCCTCAGGGTACCGCTGGCTGCGGGGCTCAGAAGTCGGACGAGGAGATGGCGGCCATGACGATCCTGGTGGGAGTCAAGAGGGTGATCGACTACGCGGTGAAGGTAGTGACCCTCCGACAGTGCGGCACTCCCTCAGCACTGACCCTCCGACAGTGCCCGCTCCCTCAGCACTGACCCTCCGACAGTGCCCGCTCCCTCAGCACTGACCCTCCGACAGTGCGGCGCTCCCTCAGCAC